ACTTAAAATGTTTAAAAATACTCAGGATGTAAGCTGCATCTGGCCAATCCGCTATATAGTACAAGGTCACTGTGTGGGAAATGGCAGGAACTAGATCTCAAAGCTCTCCTGAGCTCACGGCACATGAGTCTTTCTGACTTACGTTAAGTGGTAAGAAGCAAAGCTCCAGGTTCCTATACTGCTTGCTCTTCAGAAGTTTTTGCCCCTTAGTTGTAATTCCTTCAACGGACCCATGGGTTTACAGACAAGGGTGAGGATGAGAGGGTCGGTGACAAGTCAGGTCCTCATGCAGAAAGAGCCTGTGGTGTACAGGAGAGTGACACCAGTGCAGCAGAGAAGCCTTATGTCACCACAGTTAAGCTCCACTTAGCCACAGGATTTCTCTCCAAGCTCCTGACAGGGTCTTTGTGCAGGTCCCTGCAGAAAACGATTCACCTGCCCATCTGGCCTGATGAAGTGCAAGGAGGTTGTTTGCATCAAAAGAGAGAGCCTTAGAAAGTGGAAATAGTGAACAAAAGGCTGAATCCTGAGGATTACAAATGCTTTTGAACTCCCCTGAGAAGATCAGAACGAGGCCATGAAAGCTTTAATGCCTGCTCAAGCGATGCTCACCAGGCAAAGGAGGAAGGGTTGTGGTGGAGACACTGCTCAGAGGTTTGTGTTGGTGAGATCACACAATTGCAAGTCAGAGACATCAACAACAAATACCAGGTGCGTCTGAAGTATCAAAGCAAATAATATGACATCATGTTCTTTCCATCACTGCTACTATTATCATCCAAAAAATTCATAGCTCCAAATTAAATCCACCCAAAGTCCTGAGACCAGCCAGCAGGAATACTGCTTCCCCTTTGTAAATTCATGTCTGATGTGTTTACCAGACAGTTCTTACAGGACAGGCTTTCCCTTAACCATACTCAGGAGAAAACAAGGTGTAGTTTAGGATTTACCTTAAATGACTCCCTAAGTAACTAACCGCCTTGAGCATCTGTTTCTGGAGGACAATTACTTCCCTGGCCTCTGGAAATTACGAAGTCTGACAGTGCTCTGGTCGTGTACATTTGAAAAATGGATGCCTCACCTTTAAAGTCGAACCTCATTTTCCCATAACCACTCAACAAACTGCCTAGATTAGCATCTTTAGTATCAACTGAAGAGACTAATTTCCGATACCATGAGATGAGAAAAAAGTAAAATTCTTAACTGGGAGAATGGAGTGTCAGATTGAGGCTGTTCATTGTGAAGAGGAGGGAGTTTCTGTGCCTAGAAAGTGCAATATCTGTCTATGCCTGTAACAATCAGTCTTTTGTAATGTGAATGTGTTTCTGGTTCTGTCTTCTCACAGCACTGACATTGTACTTACTACTTAATATGTACTAAAAGCATGTTTAGTTTCATTTCAACCATATTTTGGGTCCCTTGATTGTCACATCATAGCTCTTAAATGAAAGTTATAAAAAATAAGAAATATAAAACATATACCTGGCAAAAAGAAGAAAGAGACACACAATTTTTCCCTGAGGATTATTTAATGATTAATAGAATTGTGTATTTTACAGCCAAATAATTTTGATTCAAAGCCTAGCTATGTATTTACTAGTGATGCAATTTGGGCTAATTTACTGTTTCATTTTTCTCAGCTGTAAGAAGGACAATGATGATAATACCAGGACATACCCCCTTAGTTTATTGTGAGAATAAAATAAGTTATTTGATGTAGAAGGTTGAAAACATTTGCCAACTTACTAATCTGCTAACATTTGGTAAATGTTTACTATGTCACTGTTACAAATTCTACTAAACTTTTGATTCCTAAGCTTTCTTTTTTGACCAGACAATGACTGAGAAATGATCGCAAGTGTAAATGCTGTAAGTGGCCATCTGAACATTTAAAAGCCCAATCATTTATATGATAGATACAACTATTTAGAGATGAGAAGGAAAAATTGCTGACTTTAAAGTTAGTCTTGAAGCAAGCCACAGAAATTGTCCATACAAACCTAACCTGCTCTGAGAAAAGCCTAATTAGGCAATTTCATCATGGGTGAATATCCTAAATTTACACAAATTAAAATGGCTACATACTAAGTGAAAATATATTCTTATAGGACCACTGTCACATATGAAGCACACCATTTACTGAAACACTGTAATGCAACTCTTAACTATATTTTGTGAGCAGAGTGGAGAATGAGGATGATGATTCAGATAATTTAGAAGGCAAGGGTCCAGGCTAGGGGAAAATCTTTTTACTCCAATTTTCTAACCAAGCTAAGTTTGCTAAATACTTTAAACTCAGTCTAGGAAGGCAGAGATTTTGAAAATGGTTAAGTACTGTATCTAAAAAGTAGGTCCAAGTATAACAGTAAAATTGAATTTAAGCGATGTTTTCGTAACTCAGGCCACTTCATTCAGGTAAGTTTATCAAGATAGCTTTCATACAGACTTCATGGCAGCCATGAGAACACCAAATAAACAACTGAAACACAGAACAATCAGCACATTTTCTAATCACCCTGCCCAAGCTAGAAAGAGTCTTGTAGACTGATTAATTTAACTAAAGTCCGAAACAGTTTAAAGAAGTCTGATTCGGATGTAATAAAAATTTATTGGCATTGCTGAATTCTCAGATGTCAGCTGCTTTAGCATGCCCTGCACTTCAAACCCTACTTGAAGACCAAATTACTTTCTACCTGGAAATACATTTTCAGAAATCATAGTTAATAATCAGGGGCTGTTGTTTTCATGGCCTTTCTGATGCCAACTTCTACAGCCTTCATCTTACCTTAGAGTGTAATTCATGATCTTCTTTTAAGAGACTGAGATCACAATCCATAGAGCAGGGATCAGTTTTATGAGAAACACTCCCTGGGGTTAAAAACAAAAAGGTGGGAAAAATATATTACAGATTTGCACTCCAGAGGATATGTAAGCTTACACTGCTGAAATCTAAGAGCTTATATAAAGCCTGACAAATGGGGATAAAAGAATAAATTCTAAAAGCACCAAGCTGTTCCATGTCCCCAGTTTTAATTCAGTCAGTTTAGGAACTTCAAGTAGGAGTCAGCTACCAGTCACATCATGGTGATGCAATTGATAAGCAGAAGCTCTTTCTGATCTGCTTTCCTACCCTCTTTCAGAGAGGATTCTCTATCATCAGCTACATTTCTGGGACTGTTTCCAAAGAAACTCCCCTATACCTTGTATGGATGGTCCCATATGAAGCACTGAGGTGACAGAATTTTGTTTTCTGCCTGCATCCAGTGCTCCTCACCTGAGCCACCTTTCTCATATCACCCACAACTAACAGGCATAAGGGTTCCTGAGGCTCAGCAATGTTGACATTTTGAACTGGATTACTCTTTGAGGTGGTCCTGCTCTCTGTATACTGAATTCCAGTAGCACCCAACTCTTCCACCCCACCAAAAATATCCCCAGACATTGCTGAAGTCCTCTGGGGGCAGAAAGAACCCGTTTTGAGCACTGTTTTAGGTTACAGACTCCTTGTAGACAAGTGTCTTGTTCATCTTTGTTTCTCCTACAGTGTCTAACATACACAAGATACTTTCTCAGTAAATGTTTTTTGAAAGAAATATAAGGAAATAAATAAAAATGAAGATATCATAAAGGCAGGTATTACTATAGCTTTATGCCTCCCAAGTCATTAGCTGGACTTCTTACATCTGTGAACCCATGTGACAAGGTCTAGTTACTGGATCTTGTGACAAATATCCTGCTCTAGAAGTTGCTACAGCTTGGAAGGCTTCAGAATAGCAGGAGATAAGAGTGCTGACCTGATAGTTTTATTTTGTTTTGTTTTGTTTAAGAAAAAAAAGACTCAGCAGTCAAAGTCTTTTTTCTTCCACCTTTATTTCTTCCCAGGGTTAAATGCTGCCATCTCCTGCCATTTGGAATTTTCCTAATTGGGTATTTTAAATGAGACTCTTAACAGAGTAAAATTTTGATGACAGTATTCCATGCCCTCATGTCAAAGCTTTGGGAATCTTTTCATTCCTAAGGAGGATTCCTACAGCCTCTTGCTTCTCAGCCTTGGCCTTTGTGGCTCATTCACTGAGGAAGGGGATGGTTTCATTCTGTGTTTTGACACTGGCCCCAGTGGACTATGCCTAGGCAAAGGTAGACACCAGGAAAAGTCAGATGGGGGAGGCATCCACTTGACACTGCAGATTGTTGATATGGGATTGTGTAAATCCCTGGAAGAGCCACTTTACTTTGAGTCAAAAGTAGAATTTGTTGCTAGATAGGTTAATATGGTCAAGATCAAGATGAGAAAGGGAAGAGAGGACAAGGAAGTGGAAGAAACATTTTTATTTAAGTTTTAAATATATTATTCTTTTTAAATCCTTATAACATACATTTTCAGTATACAATTGCTAGCTGGAAAAACAAATATGAGGTAGTAATGGAATATATATGTTAGTCTTTTCTGAAAACCCCATATATATGTGTTTACTTCACATACACACACACACACACACACACACACACTGTTAAACTAGTTATCATTACACTATTTGATGAGTTTGGAAATTGAGACTCATATCAAAGATCTTCCCCCAAATCGAACAGCTTATTAGCAACAAAAGTTAGTCCCAACTCTGCTTGACTTCAAAGCCTATGTGTTTAGCCTTTCTGTTGTTTGTTACTTGAGAAACTGCACCCCATTTCCTACTTACACACACTTTTAAACATTGGATAATGCATTTATTTTTTAATGCTGCTGGAACACATTACTACAAATGTGTGGCTTAAAGAAAAACCCATGTATTATCTCACATTTTTTGTGGCTTGGAAATCTGGGCATATCATAGCTCAGTTGGTTTCTCTACTTAAAAGCCTCACAAGGCTACAGGCAGTGGATTGGGCATGGCTGCAGTTCTAATCTGTATCTTGGGATCTTCCTCAGGCACGCTGTCACTGGTAGAATTCATTTTCTGCTCTCACTTTCCACGTAGCTCCATCTACTTTCAAGTCAACAGCAGGAGGTTGCGTTTCTTACATGCTCTGAAGCTCTCCAATTCATCTTCTGCTACTAGCCTAAGAAAGCTTTCTGCTTTTAAAGGCTCTTGTGATTAGATTAGGTTCACCCAGATAATCTCCCTCCTAATGTGAGAATGTTACGAAGATTACAGCTTGGACATCTTTGGGACCCATCTTCATAATTCTGTCTACAAGGAACAATTTTTGATTTAATGAGATTCTCACACTTGTGTATTAAAATGTAATGATGTACATATTTGGGTAATAAAGTTCCTATCAAAGAGATCAACTCCTAAAAGTCTAACATTTTCTTTGTTCTCATGTAAAATATTATTTGTTCAAAAGCTGATTTTCCTGGAGATAGAGGATTTTAAATGAAATAAATCATGCCATGCTGCATTAGTTACCTTTCCCCTCTCTAGAACAAAACACCCAACACCCCCAATTTAAAGGAGGAAAGGTTTGTTTTGGCTCACAGTTCCAGTGGATTCAGTCTATGGTCAGCTGGATTAAAGGCATAAACAGCAGAGCAGAAGAGCAGGGAAGAGGAAAACAATTCATCAAATATTGGCCAGGAAGCAGAAAGACAAGGGAGAACCCTCACTTAAATTATGTTCCAGTAGCTCACCCATATAACCAGGCCCAAACTCCAAACATGAGACTTTTGGAAAACACTTTAGATCCAAACCATAACACATTTGCATTCATAAACTTGTGTTTTTCATTTAAAAAGAAATCTTAGTTATATCAACTAGTCATAAGATACAAATCTTTTTTCTTAAAAGTGAGGTTTTTGTTTCCCTTGATCCCCTCTCAAATTTTCTTTCCACTGTTACTTAACTCCTGTCCTCCCCACATAACCATTTTGTTTTCTCCGTGCTCATACAACAAGATACATACACACTGATGTATACATTTATACATTTTGTTCTTCACTGAAAAAAAAGGAGATAACATATTGTAGATGTTCTCCTATATCCTTCCTTATTCAATAGTATCTGATGGAATTTTCTTTAAGTCAACAATTTTATCTCTAATTTATTCTTTTCTAGCAGTCATATAGTATTATACTAAAATTGTAGCATAATTTATTTAACTATTCCCTACTGATAAACATTCACTTTCTTCATTTTTATTTTCCTACCAAAATGAATATTACAATAAAATCCTTGAATGTATGTTCATCTATACTGTTTCTATTTTTATTTCAATGGATAGATTTTCAGCGTTGAATTGTTGGATCAAAGAATTTGCATATTTTCAATTTTAGTGGACATTGGAGATAGCTTTTTTAAAGCTACATTTTGATAGGCAATTTATAAGAAAATCTATTTCTCCAAATCTTTGTCAGAAATAGATCGCTTATAACATAATATTACTAGATTATAATCATAGAGTGTGACTTCTATTATTAAATTTCTTATATCTCCCTCACTATATAAAAATCTTGTTAGTTTTTATATTCAATAGCTCTGTTATTTGGAGCACATAGACTGTGTCACTATCACATTTTTGTCCTAACTCTACATTCCAAAATGCCTTCTTTTACTATTTAGATCTTCCTAAACCTTAAATGCTCATTTGTTTGACATTGACACTGCTTCTCCAGCTTTACTGTTGTTTTAATTTTCTGGTGTCACTTGCTTGACTTGTAGGTACTCAACTTTTTTATCATTTTCTTATGCGTGCATACCGTAAGCACTATATGATCATATTTTACTTTTAACAGTGCATTTTACTGGAGGAATTATTGTATTATTATAAAAGTAACATTTTATTTCCTGTTTATTTTATGTTTTTATTTTCTCCTTACATTTCTTTGTTTTGCTTGTTAGCTTGTTGATACTCATTTCTTTTTTATTTCTCCTTCATCTTCTTTTTTAGGGGGGGGACAATGTTGGGGTTTGAACCCTGGGCCTTTATAATGGGCTACATCCACAGCCATATTTTATTTTATTTTCTACAAGGTGCCATGAAGTCAGTAAATCGCCCAGGCTGGGCTCAAACTTGTGATCTCCTTGTCTTAGCCTCCTAGAGTGCAATGATTACAGCTGTGTGACCAGATCTTGATGGGATCAACAGCATTTATTTGCATGATAGATAAGAGATAAATACCCAAGACTCAGAAACATAGAAGAATGTAACGAAGCTCAACCTCTATTCTCATGTTTTTTTGCTTCTGGAGTTGTTATGTGTGGTTCTGGAGAAGTGAACCAGGACCTTCTTCCTGAGCTACAACTCTAGACCCCCTCATACATATTTTTTTTAAATTCTGAGACAGGATTTCACTAAGTCACTAAGTTTCCCAGTCTGGGCTGGAATTTAAGATCTTTCTACCTCAACATCCCAGAGTTTTCTATTACAGGCTACACCACCACACCTGGCTCTGTTCCCAATTTTTAGGGAAGGAAATTTCTAGCTGAAGGAAACTGTGGGCAGGGTAAGGCTCTAAAGGTGTTGGGAAAATTTTTTGTTATTACCCTAGACAAGACATACTATACGAATCAATAATTTAAGACTGGAAGCAGGTGCTAAAACACAAGAGGACTGAGGACTCACCACCAAACTCCCTCCATATGGTCCTTCACCTCTTCACTCCAACCCTTCAGGATGTGTCCGGTAAAAGGAAAGGGGAGGGACTATCTCCTTCCCTGCAGTTTCAAAACTTTGGATCTGATGAGAACATTACCTGGACTTTACTACTGAAAACCATAGATTACCCCTGGCTAATTCCAAACTACTTTAATAGTATTAATATTCTTAAAAACAAATTATTGAGTCACTTTCTTGAACTATCCAACACCAGCAACTTAAAGGAGGAGAGTTTTATTATGGATCACTGTTACAGCCCCTGATTGGCTGGCCCC